TGGAGGAGCTGCCTTTACTCCACATGGCCCTGAAGGGGAGGGGCTGCTGTCTGGTTAGCCCAGTGAACAGCCGGGTGACCCAGTGAATCACCCTGTCTCATCAATGAACAATGGGCAAGTAGAGGTTTTGGTTAACCTAGGTTTGAACTTTGCATTTTGCTTCTCAGGGAGTGCCCCTGGGGTGCACTAGGCTGGCATTTTACCTAACAGCTTTTAGATGTCATAACTCCCCCCCCCCCCCACTATGCACTACAGAAGCTGTGCTTCCCTTCTCTCCATTTTGAGAACACTAAGAAAAGTTTTTGTGTTTTGGAAAGACCCCTTTCACTCCCCACCCTTGAGTTTTCTGCCTTCAGGATAGTGGTTCTTGACAACTCCCCAGAGCATTAGTTGGAAAAGACTCACAGCTCTTCATTCCTTCACATGCTGCTCACATGCTCTGCCCCGGCCCAGTCATGCCTACGATGTTTGATGCGGCAGGCAGGATGCTGGCAACCACAGTGCCTTTCAAACTTTCACATAGCACACTTTTCTTTTAGTTTCTCTTTAGATTCTCATAAAAATCCAGGTGAAAGTTTGCAGCTGACATAACGGAAAAAGCACAAGTTGTGTGTATAAAAATTCTGTCAAAAACCCCCAATCATATCTAGCGTCTGTGTGATCATTTGATTTGCAATAGGCAGACCCTGAAATTCTAAAACTTCACAATATTTAAAAAAATTCGTGTTCGGTTATTAGTTTTCAAATTTAAAATGTTAAATGCTTTTTACACCCTTCAAATGTAGAGGAAGGATGAGAGAAAGTAAAAATTGTCCATAGTCTCATGACATTGACCAAAGACAGTCACTGTTACTATAATTTTACAATTGAGGAAACAAAGGGGAGGAAGGAAGGGAAAAAAGGAAGGAAAATGAGCTATTAGATCTTATTCTCAAAAATAAAAAAAAAAATTGTGTGGAGGAATTTCCCCAAAATTTTGGAAAGAAATGATAGGTATTTCGATTCTTAATAACTTATTGCCAGGAGTATCATTGTTGTTTCTGAACACCACAATGTTTCAGTGGTCATTAAGTTATAGAGCTTTGGTTTCCATATCACAGAAGAAAAATATTTAAAATAATATTTTGCCAAAATACTATACAACATTATAAAAAATCTTATAAAATAGAGAAGAAAGGAAAATCACATACAACTCCGCCATTTTAATAAAACCCATTAATATTTTAGTATACTTCTTTCCAGCCATTTGTCCCATTCTCAACTTTTTGTCAATAAATTGACAATGTATTAAATGAATTCAACATATTCATTAAGGAGAAAGGCCTTCATGTTTATTAGATGATCTTTATGTGGTGGGGGCTTAATTTCATTTAATTTGCACAATAATCTTGTAAGAGAAGTATTATTATTAGTGTATCTATATACAAATGAAGATACTGAGGCTTGAAAAATTCAAATAATCTGTTTAAAAGAATAAATTACTAAGTAAATAGACCATACATTTAGAGAGTGAGTGGGGAGGGAGGAGCAGATTTAAACATGGACAAACTCCAAACTAAAAAATAGGCACATGAAGAATTATGATTTAGAAGAAAACTTGAGAGTGACCCCTGAAACTTAAATCACCACAAATTGCTATCTTAAAAAGTCTATTGAATAAGCAAAATTATATTATAAAAAAAAATTCTGAGGCTGGAAGGAAGATGTAGGAAGCAAGGGAAACAGATCTTTTCAAAAGCAAGTTGACCATGTGATTGTCAAAGTGCCTTAAAAGCATTCCTGCTCTTTGATTCCGTAATTCCCTTTTCTGGTATTCATCCTAGCAAAATTAGGTGTAAAAAGACATGTTTTATCTGAAATAGTCTGATATATCTCTTAGGGCATTGGACAGGATAATAGGAATAATTAATTAAAGGGACTCTTTACAGAGGTGTGGGCTGGGTGCAAGGAATGCTAAGGAATAGCTCAGTACCCCAGGACTGGCAGGAAGAGGGCGTGTGTGTGTGTGTGTGTGTGTGTGTGTGTGTGTGTGTGTAGGGGAACACTTAGGCACCCAGGCCTGAAAAGGGGAAGGGAGGGAGCAGTTACTGGAAGCCAGATGCAGAGGGAATCATGAAGAAAGGGTCATTACATAGGAGCTGTGACCTTTGGTTGAGTGACTAATCCTGCCAGCAATGACCAGGGAGAGGGAGAGCTTGGAGAATAAAGACCTCAACATGACCCTTCTCCCATTCTCTCTTCTCTTGCCAGTGTCCCCATTGGCTGATGCCTATCAGAAGCCAGACGGTAAGGGAGCCCATTGATGCTGAAGAGCAGATGGGGCCGAGGGGTAAATTGAGGATATCTAGTACAAAAGTTTTAACTAAAATGGCAGTAAATCAGAAGCAGCCATAACCCTCCTTTGATAGAGGAATGGTTAATTAAACCTGTCCCCTCTGCCCAATAGAATATCATACAACCATTAAAATGGTAATTAAGAAGGCTAGTCAGTAACATAGGTGTGAGCTTATGGTGGTTAAAAAATTTTAAAAAGGATAGAAACTGATGTTACAATTATATCCAAATTTATGTAAATAGATAAGTGCAAAAGCAAACAGCAAAAGTGAAAATTTTTCTGCTTGGATGATTAGTCATAGGTGACTTTTGTATGTTTGGTCTTTCTCAGTTCCTCAAACTCCTGAATGCTATTTTTGCTCCCTTTGTAAAGGATATAATAAAAGAAAAAGACTTAGAATTCATCTAGCTCTTTTATTCTAAGGATTGTCATTATACGCTTTTTAGCCAATCAAATGAAGGGCATACAAAGTAAGAGTGTTAATTATAACCATTTTCTTCAATATATAATGAGGAGCGGATGGTACACAAGGCTCCTGTCACAAACATGGTACTGTGGGAATTACAACCCCCTCTCCCCCCGCCGGAGTCCAAAGGGAAGATAAAGCATGTGCTTAAATCCTCATGATTAAAACTGAGAAAGATGATTGCTTTCAGAGAGGGACAAAGAAAGCACTGCTGTGCCCAAAGGAAAGAGCTCATATTCAGTTGGAGAAAATCAGAAAATATTTCCTGGCAGAGCTGGTGTCTGCAAGGATGGACAGGATTTTGCTTGGGAGGATTGAGGGCCCAGACGGAGGTATTCTGGGTGGAGGGGTCAGTATCAGGCATACTTAAGGACCTTTGACCTTGCTGGGGAATGTGGTATTTACAGGAGAGCCCTGGGACATAAACTCCATCTGATATAATTAGGCTAGAAATTTCTCAGAGAGCACACCTCAGGGCTCCCCTAGGAGAAATCTCCTTCAGATAGATGGGCTTGATAATTTCCTGGGCATTCCCTATTTAGCAAGGGATAGTGGTTGGTACACAGGGGGAATACCAGTGAGACTTGATATTTGTAAGCATTTACCACGTGCTACACATACTATAGGCCTGACAAAGGGATGTGCAAACTACTTTTCTTATTTTATTTATTTGTTTAGGTAAGGAAACATGCTCAGAGAGATCAACTGGTACGTACAAAGTTGTGCAACTCATACATAGTTGGGCTGAGGTTTGAATCTCTGATGCCAGCATCTGTACTCCACCCACCCTCCTAGACCACCTCCCTAGAAAAAGTAAAAATAAAATTAATCCTTGACCAGCAAAGAGACCACAGGGGTGCATGTAACCTGCCAAATCCTACCTTAAAGTCCCATCTGGTAGGAAAGCAGGGCACACTATAGGGCGTAATGAATATAGGTTCATTGCCTTAGCACTGTCCCTTTAATACAGAACAGGCAACCTTAATCAAAATACTTAATCTCTCCGTGCCTCAGTTTTCTTATCTGTAAAATAGAGACATTAGTAGTGCCTTTTCTAGAAGGTTTTCATAGGATTCATTCCAAATTACAATAGTGTGTACAAAAAGGTTAGCTATTGAGCACATAGTAAGTACTTGATAAATGTTAAAATTAAGTTTTGAGACGGTATGCTATAGTATAGAATATTTCTCAAGCTAAGACACAATGCCTTAAGCTCCCTTCCCCACTTCCTACCCTACCATCTCCCGGCTTGGACAAACCCCAGATTTCAGGATCCTGGAGCTGATTCGCCTTGTGCTATTTGGTAGTCTGGAACTGGTTTGGGGAACCTGCAGCTGGCCTTAAGGCCACATGTGACCTTCTAGGTCCTTCAATGGCACTATTTCCAGGCCTTATGACTGACTGGTTTGAAAAACCAAAGAAAGAAAGGTCATTGATGGGTAGGATGATTTAGTCCAATCACTTGAAGAAGTCACAGCTGTCACATGGTAGTTCATTTACTCTCTCCTGCCATTATCACCAGGGTTCTGGTAGCTGCTCCCTTCACCTTCTCTTTTAGGCTTGAGGATGGTCTATAAGTGGGATCTTGTAGGGATTTCATTACCGCCAGCCATCAAAAGCCTTGACTAGTCAGCATCACCATGTCACAGATGTGGAAACTGAGGCACAGAAAGGTTAAGTTTAAAGTTATATAGAGAACCAGAAAAGGAACCTTAGTTTGGGGCTTTGACCATTATAGCTTCTCATCTGAAATCTCTGCAGGCACAACATATTTGCATGCCAAATATTTCTGAAGTATATATTTTGAAATGCATCATTGATTTCTAAGGTTAAAAAAATAAGAATTTTTAAAGGAAAGATGTAGTTAAAAACGAAAAATGTTAGATATCATTTCAGCCCATGTTAAAACAAATGCTTTGTGATGTATACCTCAACAACACAAAATGCTGATGTCTTTACCCCACAATCTGCACACTTGATGTGTACTTAAATGCTTTCTGTTAATGAGAACAGCTTCAGATGCTACCAAGATTTCCAGCAAGCCATAAAACATCATGGCTCAAGTCTGTACAAAGCCCTGTCTGTGAGCTTATAGTCACAATAGGCTCTGTCTGTTAATGTAACTGGAAATTTCCATATATCTTGGCTTCTGGAAATCACTTTGGAAATTTAGGGAGAAATAATTTCCTTTGTTTTCAGTCTGGCAGCAAGAAGGAGCCTTCAGACCCTCACTGGGTTCCAGGATCCAGTGGGGTAGTTTTCTAAAGTGCAATAGTGCATGCTCAGGGCCACAGGCTGCAGAGGTAAGAGCTAGGGTCAGTGAAAGGGCAGGCTGCTTGAATTCTGTGCACGCAGGAGCTGGTGCTGCCTAGTCTTGTCGCAGGCTCCAGATTAAAGTGCTGGGTCATCCAAAGGCACTTGAAAAGTGAAAGTGGCAAGCTCTTCAGGCCAGTGGATTCTTCTTCAGAGACCAGAAGCCTCCTGAGGATAGTCCATCAGGTCACCCGGGCTCCTAATACCACAGGTTCAGATCTAGGAAGAAAAGTCCACAAAGAAGAAAAATCATTTTATCTGATTAGAAAACATATAACCTCTACAATTTAAAATGGAACGAGAAACCATTTAAAAAAAAAAATATTGTCTATCTGGAGGCAGAATGGTTTAAAACTTTTCTTTTCCTGCTACCACTGCCCTAGTCCAGGGCTTCAACCCCTCTGCTCAGACCTCACCTTCTCCATTCTGTGGGCCACAGATAGCTCAGTTGTACTGGAGCACATTTCATGGGACTTGCCTATTGAAAAGCTTTCATAGTTGCTTGTTATGTAGGATATTTCTATTAGCTCATTCTCTGCCCTGCTGTATCCTAGTCACATCCCAGCAAGACTGTGGACTACATCACTGGGCTCTTCCATCTAGCTTTGGCTGAGGTCAGTCTAGGGGAGAAAGAAGGTTGCAGTGAATAGAGAGTGACGCTGGGTTATCTTATCCTCAGCAACCTCTCAGACAGGTTGCAGGCTGACTTTGTTCCTCTACTAAAGGCAGTAGCTCCCGGTAGGTGGACCAGGAGCTACTGCCTGGTCCTACTGTGAACCCTTATCACAAGGGTTCTGGTGGCTACTCCCTCCACCTTCTCCTTTAGGCTTGAGGATGGCCATTTGTTTTTTTGGGTTTTTTTGAGGAGGGATGGGGATTCATTGAGGGTACAAAGAACCAGGTTACATTGATCGCTTTTGTTAGATAAGAACCCTCCTGTAGTTGTGTCCCACCCCCAAAAGGTGTACCACACCCCCTGACCCCCATCCCCTCCCTCCTTCTCTTTCTTAACACTCCCCATCCTCCTCTTCCCACCGTGTACTAGGACCTTAATTATCCTCATATCAGAATTGAGTACATAGGATTCTTTTTTTTTGAGACAGAGCCTTAAGCTGTAGCCCTGGGTAGAGTGCCGTGGCGTCACAGCCCACAGCAACCTTAAACTCCTGGGTTTAAGCAATTCTCTTGCCTCAGCTCCTGAGTAGCTAGGACTACAGGCATCTGCCACTATTCCTGGCTATTTTTTTTGGATGTAGTTGTCATTGTTTGGCAGGCCCAGGATGGTTTCTAACCTGCCAGCTCTGGTGTGTGTGGCTGGCGCCTTAGCCACTTGAGCTACAGGCACCACCCCATAGGATTCTTGTTTTTCCATACTTGTGATGCTTTACTAAGAATAATGTGTTCCACATCCATCCAGGTTAATACAAAAGATGTAAAATCTCAATCTTTTTAGTGGCTGAATAGTATTCCATGGTGTACATATACCACAGTTTGTTAACCCATTCCTGGGTTGGTGGGCATTTAGGCTGTTTCCACATTTTGGTGATTATAAATTGAGCTGCAATAAACAATCTAGTGCAAGTGTCCCTGTGGTAGAATGATTTTTTTTCTTCTGGGTAGATGCCTAGCAATGGGATTGCAGGATCAAATGGGAGGTCTAGTTTGAGTTCTTTGAAGGTTCTTCATACTTCCTTCCTAAAAGGTATTAGTTTGCAGTCCCACCAGCAGTGTAAGTGTTCCCTTCTCTCCACATCCATGCCAGCATCTGCAGTTTTGAGACTTTGTAATGAGGGCTATTCTCACTGGGGTTAGATGATATCTCAGGGTGGTTTTGATTTGCATTTCTCTAATAATTAGGGATGATGAGCATTTTTCATATCTTTGTTAGTCATTCATCTGTCTTCTTTAGAGGAGGTCTTATTCATCTCTCTTGTCCAGTGAGCTAAGGGATTGTTGGCTCTTTTTATGTTTTTTAATTTGAGTTATCTGTAGATCCTAGTTATTAAGTTTTGTCTGAATCAAAATATGCAAATATCCTTTCCCAGTGTGTAGGTTGTCTATTTGCTTTGGTTGTTGTCACCTTAGCTGTACAGAAGCTTTTCAGTTTCATTAAGTCCCATTTGTTTATTTTTGTTGTTGTTGCAATTGCCATGGAAGTCTTCCTCATAAAATCCTTCCCCAGGCCGATAGCTTCCAGTGTTTTCCCCACACTTTCTTTCTTTTTTTTTTTTTTTTTAGAGACAGAGTCTCATTTTATCACCCTCAGTAGAGTGCTGTGTCATCACAGCTCACAGCAACCTCTGACTCCTGGGCTTAGGCGATTCTCTTGCTTCAGTCTCCCAAGTAGCTGGGACTATAGGTGCTCGCCACAATGCCTGGCTATTTTTTTGTTGCAGTTTGGCCAGGGCTGGGTTTGAACCTGCCACCCTTGGTATATTGGGCCAGTGCCCTTACTCACTGAGCCACAGACACCACCCTCCCCACACTTTTTTTTTTTTTTTGAGACGGAGCCTCAAGCTGTCCCCCTGGGTAGAGTGCCATGGCATCACAGCTCACAACAACCTTCAACTCCTGGGCTCAAGCGAGTCTCCTGCCTCAGCCTCCCAAGTAGTTGGGACTACAGGTGCCCACCGCAACGCCTGGCCATTTTTTGGTTGCAGCCATCATTGTTGTTTGGAGGGCCCAGGCTGGGGATTCGAACCCGCCACCTTAGGTGTATGTGACTGGCACCTTAGCCGCTTGAGCCACAGGCGCCGAGCCACCCTCCCTACACTTTCTTTGAGAATTTTAATTGTTTCATGCCTTAGATTAAGGGCTTTTATCCATCTTGAATTGATTTTTGTGAGTGGAGAAAGGTGCAGGTCCAGTTTCATTCTTTTACACGTGGATATAGGATGGCCATTTGTTAATCTCAAAATGCTCAACAACCCTTGCTGGTTTCTCTTAATGCTGCACACACCTTTGTAAATAGTCTTTTTATTAAATGTGCCTCAGAGTCTGAGCATGCCCTTTGTTTCCTGCTAAGCATTCAAGTCTAGTAAGTCAGTCTACACTTCACCTGGATTTCCTGGTTCACAATAAGGCCTATGAAAGTCTATCCACTTTATCTCATACCTTGATTTCTATTAAACAGGATCACATGCCCCTCTTTGCAGATGCTCCACCTTTCTACCTCTTTGCCTTTTTTTCTGGGTGTTTTCTCTAGCTAGAACAATCTGCTGTTTCCATTTATGTCTGGTCCGAATATCATGTTCTCTATGAAACCTTTCTCTCCACTGATTATCCCCAGCCCAAAGTGATTTTTTCCCCATCTCTGAACTTTTGTGTATATTTGTATCCCTTGCATAAGTCATAGAGAACCATAAAAAGTACACAGACTTCTCACACCATTCTGGGGACTTTAAGGATGAATAGGTAAGGTGGGCGTCAAAATAAAGGGATAATTTGAGAGTTATCTGATTTTCCAAATATGTTCCAAGAAGCACAAAGTACTTAGAACCTTTGCAGTGACATATGATAGGGTGTTTATATCCTCCACTCTAATTCCACCAAAGTTCTGTCTAATATTTACTTTTGAAAAGGACTATAATGGTAAAAGAAAACAACTGGAAACCACTGAAATAGGGAAGGAGAAAGGAAACACTTTCATGGTGGAATGCTGAGATTGTGGTCAGTGCTCAGGTGGAAGTTCTTAAGAGGAAGAAGGAAACCACAAAAACAAACAAACAAAAAAATAAAACACATAGAGGACCCCTTGCTAGAGTGTATATAGAAAGTTGTCCTCTTTTATTTTAATTTTGACCCAAATTAGACTGATGAGAACAGTTTTTGAGTATTGTGTCCTTATTACTTGATTGCTAAGACTCTTTGATGACTGATATTATAATATGTTTAGTTCACCTTTATCATTCTCATGTGGCCTTACAGAGTTTTGCAAATAGCAGATACTTACTACACATTTGTAAGTAAATAAATGAATAAATGAATAACACCGTATTGGGAATCGCAAGACTTTTTTTGATTTTTTTCTTTTTGTCTGCCACATTTCACTCAAGGAAGACAATATCTTTTAGCTCCAATATTACCATCTCTAAAATGAGGAAGCTAGGCTACATGATCTGTAAGCCCTAACAAACCAAGGCTTGATGATGAGAATAACTCTTTTTTTTTTTTAAGAGGAAGCATGATACATATCTATGGTACCAGAGTCTACTCCTGAAGTTTTTCTGGTTGACGGTTTGATTATCTGCCTAAGAGCAAGAGGACATGGTCCCAAATAGCAACACAAGTATGGTTAGACATAAGAATAATTTCCATAAATGCAAAGGGAAGAATGACACAGACAAAGACTCTCAGCCCTTTGAATTTTAGTTCCAATTTTACCACTTGAATTTTAGTTCCAATTCTACCACTAAGCTATGAGATGACTTTATACAAATCACCTTATCTTTTAAATCCTTGGATGTAGACATCTTTTATAGCTTGGCTGTCAGGAATCTTTGAAGACAACTAAGACTTTGGTAGGTGGGCTTTAAAGAAGGTGTAGCATTGCCCTCCCTTAAAGAGCAATGGAGAGTTCTATAGAATGCAGTGGCTACTCCCTCTAGAAGTGAGTGTGGATGATTAAAATAGCTTCAGTAACCATCGCTCTTCATCTAACAGGCATCCAAGGGTACTTAAAAATAATACACTGAGGCACGTAAAAATGTAATAAGGTACAAAGAAAGTTCAGGAAACATAAAAGCAGAAAATGCTATAAGGTTCCATAACCTGAATACAATGATTCTGAGCATTTTTATGTTTTTACTTCTATTTCTCTGAAGAAGGTGGTATGGGTGGTATGTAAAAACCTTTTTTTTTTTTTAAAGGCAAGCATAAAACAAAGTTTATTGGAGAAGAGAAAGGTAGGTTGACAGAGTAAGACTAACATAGGCTTACAGAGCAAGATACATTCACCATAGACAGCGAATGGTCCTCCACCAGCAGGGCAAGTAGGCAAAGAGGCCATCAAAACATTTTTAGTAGAAGATGAATGATATGATAAGTATATTTTTATATCTTACTATTTTTCCTATTTTTTATTATATAGAAAACATGTCCCTACATCTTTATTGCTCAGAAATAGAATTTTCAATGGCAACACAAAGTCTATTGAGTATAAATTCCAGTTTCCCCCTATTGTATCAGTCAGAATAGACTAGGTTATGCTGTAGTAACAA